AAATGTGAAAGTTGGTAGATATGTTTCTTAATAAATTGGGTAAAAGCGGCACACACATATATATTTTTTGAAGTGAAAACTTCTTTAGCGGCGCTGTACACTTTTTTGTAATGGGTTAAAAATGTTAAACTCGCGTCAGGACACGTGGCCTGATCGATTCGTAAGACGAAAACAATAAATTTGGAAAGGCTGTTGACTTTCAATATATTGGACGAAATATATTGTTATTTTATTTTATCGTATTATAATAATAAGTCTCTAACTAGGACGTCCAGGTGGCAGCTTTATTGCGAAGAAGTTGCATTTTTTTTGACAATGTCCTAGGTGCGCCTCAATGTGATTCATGTAAGTTGTTGTTTTCTGAGAGATAAAGTTTTTAATGTAATATGAATGGTCATGTTTGTGTACCACATAAATGATAGTACTTTATACTGATAATTAAAGCAATTCGTTCAAAATTATTCCCTAACCATTCCAAAATATCACTTCTGCCGGCTCTCCCGGAGTGCAACCCGTCGTTTTTTTTGAGTGGGTATGCTGTTGGTCGCATATGACCTTTACAGCGTCACTGGGTTTGGGGACGGCGAGATCCTAAGGTGATCAAGCCGAGAATTGGTGAGTGCCTCTAGAGGTATTCCACGGGGGGAGTCTCCTCTCCGTCTGGAGCCTCTAGACCACTCGAACCTGAGAGGGTCGGCTCAACTAGGTCTCCGAGACTCGGACCTCGGCTCTAGTTAGCCGTTGTCGTGGGGGGCGGGGAAGGCACACATATAGTTTATTTGCTAGATTGAGACATAGGATACTTTGTTACCCGGAAAATGTTAGGTTCATGTGGGTTCTCAAGAAATAAAGTTAACAACGTGGGCATAGTCGTGGATTGCCGCTAGTATTTTGTAAAGCATTAATTAAGCAATTATAATAATGAATTCCTGCATCATGTTATTGGTGAGTATAAAATACGTAAAAAAACGACGGGTTGCACTCCGGGAGTGCCGGCAGAAGTGAAAACTTGAATATTAACGTTATGCATTTTTGATATTTTGGAATGGATAGGGAATAATTTTGCACGAATTGCTTTAATTATCAGTAATACTTTATATAACATGAATTTTACGAATACACAGCAGTCTGGCCACTACACAGACAGTCGAGCCATCAGTTGTCACAATCCATGGATGCGCATAGCATGCTGTAACATAAACACATACGAACATTCGCGAAATTGCGCCTGGGCGCCTGCGCCGCCTAAACGAAACAGCAGGCGCAGGAATTTTCGCCGCGCCCGTAGAAAGAGACGGGGATACCTCTCCTACGCCGCGCCCCGGCTGTCGACTCTCCATCCGTCTTACGAATTTTCGATCAGGTCACGTGTCCTGACGTTTGTTCGACATTTTTTACTCATTACAAAAAAAGTGTACAACGCCGCTAAAGAAGTTTTCACTTTAACAAAAAAATTTTTTACTAGAAAAATGCAACGAAATAGAATAAATTTTCCATATATTTTTTTATAGATAGGTGCGACAAATGACTCCACCCCTCCTGATGTTAAGTGTAGGTGAAGTCCAGAAGCGAAGATAGCTGATACAGCAGTTCTACCTGCCACACCAGCCATCCTCACGATCCCAGGTTGTAAGAGGGAGGGAACACGTGAGCGGGCAGAGCATTCCATTTACGGGTAGTACGACAAAGAAATGAGTCACCAAATTTCTTTGTACGCGTTGGAATTGTAGCCACAGTTAGACGGTGACAAAGTAAGCCAGCGCGCGTGGTCCTCTGAAGGAAAGGGGAAGGTCGAATAAGAGAGAAAAACTCCTCAGAATACTCGCCGTGGTACAGACGATAGAACGCGCTTAATAAATTCATCAATCTAGCTGATTAATGGCGCAATTACATTTGGTCGTTAGCCCTTATTCGGGTGCACGAAAGACATTACTCAAATTCGGATACCCGACGCAATATTTACACTGGAACACGGACTGGAAAACGGTGTCGTCGGGTAAATACAAGGAAATCTACCCGAATACGGGCATACTCGACTCTGGAGCTCTATTTTTGAATCACTCGTCTGACATAGTATCGTCGAATGCGACATAAGTCACCTTCGACTTTCAAGTCGCATGATACTGATTTTCCGTATTTTTGAATCGTTCGTCACCGATGTTACCAGTATAATACGAAATATAAAATTTTATTCATTTCACGCAGACTAAATAAAAACCGGTAATTACCGCAATTAAAAATCTGAATGAAAAATTGTTGGTACATGGCTGTATAATACAATTGTATTTTGTTGTTTATATTACCGGCACTTCACTTAGCTGTTCGTGATTGCTGTTTGTAAACTTGACATGCATTAGCCGTCATGCCATAATAAAAGAAGAAGAAACTTGACGTCAGTCTGCCCTTGTCGTTTCATATAAATCATGACAAGGATAGATTATCGTCGTCTTAATGCAAAATGAACAGCAAAGTAAAATGCCGGCTTTTGAAAAATTCAAACGTCTTAACTCTCATTTCAAAACAGTTTCTAATAGTTTATTTTACTCAGTGGCTAAATCCAATCACACAAGAAATCTATTAGGATTCCTAATTTTCTACTTATTAAGTATAAGTATAAATCTATTAAGATTTCTAATATTCGACTTATTAAGTATAAGTATAAGTTTGACACTAACGCGACGTCTGACATAAATTTGACAATTATTCTATCATTCGCCTCCACCATTCGCCATGCAACGAGTGGTCTCACCCATTCGTTACACTAACTATGTCTAACTATGTCGAACTAATTATGTCGAATGAAAATTAGTAGAAATAGAGTGTTCGACGCAAGGCGAGTGATTCAAAAATAGAACCCCCGCTCATTTACACTTAGTCGTTTACCCGCATTCCATTAGCAATCGTATTCGGGCTAACGACCAAGTGTAATCACGCTGTAATACTTAAAATAAAAATATAATAAACAGACCACCAAGATGAAAATTCATTTTAGATGTTATATGTATATTTTTATGGTGATAGTTAAGGCCCCTAAAAATCTGCGTGAGTTGTACCAAATGACTTTACATTAAACTATTCAGCACCCCTAGCACGAAACATTATCGAATTCGAATAATTTGCAAACCGAAATATCAATGTCAAATTTTGTATGGAAACTTGAACAGCAGCGGCACAAAGTGCGTAACGAGAACTAAAAATCAGAACACATTTATTTCAGTATCAACATCCAAAAAGTCTGGAAATATATTGTTGTTTTATGACACTTAAGAAATAAGCAAAACAATACATAAAATTTAACGCAAGTTTAATAGCGTCATGTCGAAGTGAACTATCTAATTACATAATTACTCTATATTTAAATACTAGAACAATAAATCTAAAACTAAAAACCTTAAAAAATAAAATTAATAACTAAAATATATTATTAAAAGGAGTCCCTTTAGGCAAGGATCCGAAGACATTTACACATTTGACAATGACATTTCGGACTCGAAAACGATACGAATTCGATATTGGTTCGTGCTAGGGGTACAGTTAAATTACCGGTTAGTTAAAAAATAACTATCCAAGCGTGGTCAGTTGAAGTAAATAGAAAAATTTAACTTTTACTGTAACTAGGGTTACCATATTTCAGGATTTGTCCTGAGATTTCAGGATTTTTGGACTCTTCTCAGGATTGCGGCTGGATTTTGCAAATCTCTTGAAAATACAGCTAACGTTTTAAAGATCTGTTTAATAAAAACTTACTCAAACTAAAAATAATCTTCCTTTGATAATAATTGCACAGTTAAAATCAGTACTTATTTATCCAAGTAGGTACTTGATCAGTTTTATCATACTTAAAATGTGATGATACATTTTCAGGTAAGGTTATTTCTTTAATTATGGATTTATAAAATGCCCCACATGTTAAGCTCTTCCAATTAAATTAAATTAAAAGTATAAGCAGCGTGTATATAAACAATGATATTACGACTTTTCTAAATTGTTGTACGTTTGAGAGAAAATTCTCAAACTGTAAAAATCTCAGGATTTTTCAATGGAAATCAAGCCTTTTCTCCGGACTTTTGATTTTTTCATCTGGTAACCCTAACTGTAACTAGCTCTGTGGTGCAACTTACACTTAATAACGATTAGTAAACTAAATTGAAATAACTTAATTTTTAAGTTTGATGTAATATGATACCGTAACTATCTTTACGATAGCTAAAGAAAAAGAGAATATACATACGTCACTCAGACAAGCATCGAATTTAACTGACTTAACTAAGTGAAGCTGTTTCATAAATACGGAATTAATTTAGTTTAATTAAAACTACGGCAGCTACGAGAACTTACTGCTTAACTACCGAAACGTGTGCTATTATTACAAGCTAGTTCCAGGTGCGTGCGCTTACGCAGCGGTACAAAACTTCAATGTCGTATTCATAGATGGCGTTTTATGAGTTGCTGTTATAGAAATCAATTATTGTATATATGCTCGTACGTAAGAACTTGTAAACAAACAAAATTTTTATTACAAAATAGCACTTAACGAAGTTTTATTTTAAAAACCATTACAATACTGGTTTTATATAAACTTGAAATTGTTTAATTTACTTATTAGGTTCCCATACTTAAAACACAAATTTTAAGTACCTATAAATAATTAGAGAACTTTAGCTTTTCATTGCTTATGCTATAGTTCTCGCATCTCATTAAATGATTTCACAGAAAATTATTTACCATAATGTATGTCCTATAACACATCGACTTTTACTCCCGTGACCTTAATGCAAGCGGTATGACGTACGCCCTTAAGAACATGACCTAGTATCTGTCTATCTCTTTTCAACAAATGCATCCCTATATTCGATATCGCAACTCACGCATCTCAAGAAAACCTCCGTTACTTTTACCTGTGCAAAAAGGCTCGATCTGCGGAGAATTTAGGGCGGAGCTAACGGGACACGACTATCTCTCTCTTTCTACAGTGCGCGCCTTAAATTGAAAGAGTGAGACAAGCATAACACAAAACTACTACAGAATACCGGTACAGCGAGTTTTTGACAGTGCATATCAAACCGCGGTGTGGAAGTTCGTATCACAGAAAAATGTATTGTATAAAATATTTATAAGTGTTTCCGTGTTATTTTATCATTTAAAAACAATGCTTGTGTATTTATTGTGATTGTTATAAAAAGGATTGTTACTAAAAGCTTCTAAGGTGAGTATTAAGATATAACAGTTTTTTTGAATGACAGTTATTTAAGCTGTGTTTACACGTAAAAGTTTCTAGGGGAACTGAAGACGTTAGACGGAGATAACTTTAGATTTTGTAATAAAAACAATGTTTATAAGAAACAGAATTTGTAAGAAGAAGAAATCAAAGTATTAAATTGTAACAATAACAGAAGAGAAAGAGTTAACTTCAAATTTAAGGTGTGTCGGGGTGTGTGAAGTGACCTTGTGAGCTTTCAACTATTTAAAAAGTTCCGAGTGTAGTTCGTGCTTAGTACTTTTGTCAAATATTTTTTAAACTCAAACGAGTACCGTAAGTAGGTATACGACAAGTAAGAAATATAATTTAAATACAATTGTGATAACATATTGTTTTAAACTTTCATGGTCACTAACATTATAGTAATATAAGTTATTTACGGGATTGTTACCATGTATCGGGAACTCGCTAAAAACAAGGTACCTACATGGTAACAATCCCGTAAATCTTTATATATATAATTCTTCTGTGTGTGTGTATGTCACTGAACTTCTCTTAAACGACTGGACCGATTTTGATGAAATTTGATGAAAAAAAATTTTTGTGTGTGTTCAAGGGGATCTGAGAATGGTTTAGATTCACAATTTTGTCCGCTGGACAATGTTTTTTTAATTAAATTTTTTTATGGCGGTACGAAGTTCGCTGGGTCAGCTAGTAACTTATATTACTATAATTATGATAACGTATATATTTTTCACCAAATTAAGATTCAAGGTAGGTCAATTTATATTAAGCTGCCCTATGCACCGGATGACTTTGATGATTATCAAAGATGATTTTGATGATATCAAGTTTAGATCGTTTTTGGTTTACTTGCTGTTAGAAAGTCAAGCTTATTAGTCATAACTTCGTCAGCTTTATGACATCTTTCTTAAGACTTATTATTATGTGTCAACATGAATTCCGGGATTTTAATTGAAGAGCCGATCTATTTAGCCGATTTAGCGCCTTCGGCTGCGATCGTTGAAGTTAAGCAACTTTCGCAGTGGTCGGTCATTGGATGGGTGACCAAAAATTACTACCTCGAGCTCCTCCGTGCTTCGGAAGGCACGTTAAGCCGTTGGTCCCGGCTGCATCTGCAGACGTTAGCACCCGCCAATCCGCACTGGGCCCGCGTGGTGGGTCATGGCCCAATCTCCCTATTCCATCCATAGGAAAGGCCTGTGCCCCAGCAGTGGGGACATTAATAGGCTGATGATGATGATGATGATGAATTGAAGAGTCGTGCCTGAAGTCTTCTTAGTGTTAGGAGAATTGTGGACTGCTTCTGAAACTCGACAGGATCTGCCTATTTTGCATGAGGAATGCCATCAGTCTTGCCATCCCAGCTCCTCCAGAAAGCCCAACAGTCCCCGGATTTTGCGTCAGGCCTCCTTGCCTGAAGTTAAGATTAGACGTTTAATAACATTATTGTAGAACCCAAAATCTAATGTATGTTTAGATTGAATAAATTATACTTTATCGTCTATGACTCAATCTGTTTCGTTAATTAGGACACAAATAAACAATAGCTTTTTAATATTTTTGGAATGTGGTAATTGTGGTTGTGTTTATAAAATTTTAATATTAACGTTCATTTATTACATCACTGAGCTGTGACTAATAATTACTATTATATTAACATTTGTGACAGGGTCCACAATGATCGTAATAGTTTCTTGTGGTTTGCCTAAAATGGTTATGCAATAACACTTTGAAGAAATTGCACTGATTTTTAAATTTTAAATAAGGATGATGACTAATTTTTTTTCTTCGTTTATCAGGTAGATTATCAAAAAGTATTGGACACGTATTTTTTCTTTTTTCACATAGCATAAACGTTGCAGAGATATATTGATTTGAAAAGTCGCATGACGTCACGTTTGAGTACACTCATAAGTGAAAATTCACTCAAAAGTGACGTCACGAGCCCCTACTCCCAAACTTTGACGCGCTATAACTTTGTCATTTTTTTGGTTGATTGCCCAAAGAAAAAATACGTGTCCATTATTTTTTGATCATCTAACTGACGGACTAAATAGCATTTCGTTTACTGTACCCCGTCATCACCCCTATTATCATGATAATACAATAATCGTACAATAAATGCATTGATAAAGTATTTACACTCGACGAAAGAGGGAGCAAAAGTAAAGATTACAGGCTACTTTTCTCAAAATATGTATTGCTCTAAGGCCCGTATTATAGAAAGATTCTCAGTGATTGATCTAGTCTTAAGCATAGTTTAAAAGGGATGTCGCTATATATAGCACATAGCGATATCCCTTTCTAACTTTACTCAAGTAAAGATCAACACTTAGGTGTCATTCTGTAATACCTTCAATAAAAAGCGTACTCCTTCCTTAAAGGCTGGCATCGCATTTGTGATACTCCTGGTGTTGCAAGTGTCCATGGGCGACGGTGATCACTTACCATCAGGTGAGCCGTCCTCTTGTATGGTCCCTATAACATAAAAAAAAGTAGTTAATGTAAGAATTAACACTCGGATAGGTTCTATACCACTGCAAAAGATGAAATTTTAGACGGAAAACATTTTTTTTGTGTGCGCTCAGGCGCAAATACAAATAAATTAAATACAAATAAAAATAAATCAAATGAAACTGGAAGTGATATCAGTATCACTTCCAGTTTCATTTGATTTATTTATAATTTACTAGCGGATCCGACAGACGTTGTCCTGTCTACACGTCTTTGTGAATCTAAACCATTCTCAGATCCCCCAGATCTGAACACACACAAAAAATTTCATCAAAATCGGTCCAGTCGTTTAAGAGAAGTTCAGTGACATACACACTCACAGAAGAATTATATATATAAAGATATATATTAACAAAAAAAAATTCATTCGTCTATCACGGTTCATAAGATGTAGTCTGGTAACAGATGGTCGAGTTAATTTACAGATTCAGTTTTCAAGACAAGGAATCCTTATAGTTTCGTCATGTCCGTCTGTCCATCTCCGGTTTTTCTTGGAGACTATTGGCACTAGAGAGCTGTGATTTTGTGGGGATATGTATATCAATCACGCCGACAAAATGGTAGAATAAAATTTTGAAAAAATATTTATTTTAGGGAAGCTCCTCCACATGTAACCTTGGGATGTTTTTTTTTCATCATCTTTGATCCAACGTGTGGGATATCGTTGAATGAGTCCTTTAAAATTACTTAAGGGTTTTTAAGACTGTTTTTCGATCCGTTTGCGAGATATTGTACTTTAAAGTGCAAATTTTTGTTCGAGTAGGGCGCCCCCCCCCCCCCCTCTAAAAGCTAAAGAATTGGCTTGAAAAGCCTGAAAAAATTCAATAATAGTGCTTTTCATGAATTTTTAAAGGAAAACTATATGGGTTAACATAGATTTGTTAATTTTAGAATAATAGTTGTTCAACTTTGGTTAAAGAAAATTTCTTACTTATTGACAATTCCTTAGAAGAAAACATTAATAGTGACAGAGATGAAGATGTTGTAGCGTAAAACTTTGCATTGCCACAAAATCTAAACAAAAATCTATTAAAAACCATACTAAAATATCAGTAGTTTTACAACGCTACCGCGAGTACCAAGTCGCGCTAAAGTTACGTTTTTATAAAAAAGTATATAAGCACTTGAAAAGATCGGCGGCTATATCGCATCATCCACTTCTCAGGGGATGACCGGTTCAGATGAAGCTTTTAGTCATAAAAGTCTGACATAACCTTGCAGCCGGCTGTAGGGTAACCATGAGGATTTCATAGCCGCTCCTCCGCCTTGGAGAACACAAAAAAAATATCGATTTGATTTTGAGACGCAGTTTGACTTTAATTCAGGTATTTTAGTTTAGATACATATATTCCGTGCATATATTGATATTTATTGTTTTTAGAGAAAATGAAGACTCCTACTCAAATATATGGTATTAACTACAGGCAACTACGGAACCCAACATTGCGCGTGACACGACACGCACTTGACCGGTTTTTGGTTAAAAACGTTTTGATTCTCACAGACGATGACCTAATTTTCTAAAAAGTACAAAAGTGCATTACGAAACGCGACTTACGTTCTCCAAAATACCACTAACGGATAAAACTCATAGCTCTGTAACAATTTTACCAATTTGAAGTGAAATACAGACGATGTTAATAGAATGTAAGCAGCGACCGCGAGGGAATCAAGAGTTACTTAGGAAATAGCATTTACTAATAAGTTGATCAAGGGTAGGGCTGCCATCCGTCCGGGTTTCCCCGGATTTGTCCTAGTTTACGGGGCGTCCGGGGAGCGTCCGGGCGGGGTTTTATTTGTAGTCCGGGTTTAAAAATTTACGGCAACGCATGAGTGGCCCTTGGTGCTGCAAGTGTCCATGGGCAGCAGTGACCACTTATTATGTGGTAGCTCTTTAGCCTAGATCAACATAAAAAAGTTGATTTGTGACATTTTTAACTGTTTTTTATTGGTCTGTACCGGGTTCTGGGCTCCAAAATCCGGGGTTATCACGCGTCTTATCCTGGTTGCCACATTTTAGAGATGGCAACCCTAATCAAGGGGCATGTCGGGCTCGAAGACATGGCCTGGGGGCCAATCGCCTAACGGAAATGCTTTGGAAAACGCTAACGCTTACGATTTTATTTTGTTATTTCTAGCCGCCTGAGGTATTCAAATGCCTCGCGCTCTTTCTTTTTCTTTTGCATTGGTAATAACAATATTAAAAAGAATGAGCGTGAGGTATTCGAAAACCTCAGGCGGCTAGAAATAGCAATATAAAATCGTAAGCGTTAGCGTTTCCCAAAGCATTTCCGTTAGGCGATTGGCCCCCTGGCTGTTACTTCGACTCCACAAACCATCGCTGAGGACGAAACACCGTGGGGTTTTAGTCGGTAGGCCCGTGCCTGCCGATAAGGGGAAATTTATTTTCGTCTGGTTGGTAGGCAGGGGAGAGTCCCACATAACCCGCTCACTCTCTAATGAGCGGG